CATCCCCATTGACCTTATGTTAATCAAATGATCTATGTTTAGGGTTTCATTCTTTCCTTGATCTTTAGATTCTCCTTTTCTTTGTGATACATTTTTTTGCCTTAACTGATTCAAGATTGAGTTGTAGAATAAGAATTGTAGTAGGAACTTCTATTGAGTTTTTAGGTGAAACAAATGGCAGAATTATTCTTGGATACACCCACTTGACCATGACATCAAAAGTCTGTGCCAGAGCTCATGAGGGTTTCTGTATAAAGGGGACAGCTTTCTTGCATTTGTCCATTATGATCATGAAATTGTAGTGGTCCATTTCTTTCCTCTTTACACCTAATCCATGCACCCTTCTCGAGTTCTGAACTCAGGTGGGGCTGGACTCCGGCAGCAAATGACCTGGGCACTTGGCAGCTTAGCCAGGCAAATGCTGACCTCACAGATCCTGCAGGGCTCAGGGTTCTGGGCCTGCTGGGTCATCAGGGTCAAGGTCTCCATGAGGTTGTAACGAAGGCGTCCACAGGAGCTGCTGTGTCATCTGAACACTCGACTGGCAGGGGCCAGCTCCTCCTTCAAAGCTCACCCCCAGGTTTGTTGGCAGCATCCCAGTCATCTGGGCTGTGCTGTTTGGCTCTGTACCTCAGGTTGGGAGGGAGGTCCCTCCAGGGGACAGCGGGCAGTGTGGCAGCTGGCTTCACGTGGGACAAGCCAGCAGAGCACAAGGCAATGAGTAAGGCAGAAATCAGCATCTTTTTGTCAACTAACCATGACCAGGACTTTCCATTGCTGATGCCAAGGTCTGTCACTAAGAAGCAAGCCATTTAAGTATGGTTCCCACAGCTGAAAAGGGGCCTCCACAAGGGCACCAATTCCAGGAGGCAGGCATCAAGGACAATCCAATTTTTAAAAGGTAAAACTTGAAAATGCTTGTGGCTGAGGACAAGAACAGAAGACAACAGTACAACAAGGGATGCTGGAGGGTCAGAAGTGGCAAGTGCACTCGGTCCTGTTGAGGCGTTTGACCTTATTCCAAAGGGCACCATTAGTTTCAGATGTGGTGGGCATTGCACCTTCAATAGCTCAGCCTGCTGGAAAAGAATAAACATGAAGAAACTTGTTAGAAAAGGCAAAATCAGCTGAAAACAGGCAAAACTTGTGTCCTTGTCCTGGGCTGGTGAGAATTCCAAGAGAAGTGCCTGCTTTTTATTATGAATTTGTCTGCTACATATAGTGTCTGTTTAATTTTTAAATGTATTTCCTTAAACAAATTTTATTTTTGGTGTTGTTTACATAGTCGAGAGGAATGCATACCCATATGGACCACTGATTAGGGTGAGGAGGGCTGAGGCATGGGGGAAAGTGGATGAGACAATTACTTTCAAAAAAATGTTTTTCTTCCTGTATCTGGGGGTAGGGGTAGAGGAGAGAGGACCACTCCCAGCAGCCTAACCACATCAACACCTGGGGAGGGAGGTCGGCCTCTTAATGTCATCCTAGGGTCCTTGGTGCCAAGCATGTTCCGAGGAACCTGCTCAAGTGGTTTCAATGGTTCTGAGATGTTGTTGATGCCCCTGCTTCAAGGTTGAAGAAATCTTCCCAAGGTCCGTTAGCTGACATAGTCCACCCTAGAGTTTCCACTCACCCAGATCCTTCCTGTCAAAGCTTGGTCGGGAGAGTTGTCCGATTTGTTCTTTCATCCAAGGTACTCAATGTCCTCTGCAGGCCTCAAGGAACTGTCATGTCCCCCACGTGCATCTGAACGTGCCATCCACTACACAGGCTTCAGCAACTGATGAGGCTCAGTTCATGTCAGTGTCTTTTAAACCAGATCCTCATACTACTTTCAATTAAAAGAATCGCTAATTTAAAAAATGCGGGAGGGGGGCACATTTGCAACAGTGGTTAAGACACCCAGCTTCAAATCCTAGCTTTGCCCCAGATTTTTATTTCTGCTAACACACACCTTGAAAGGCAGCAGGTGCTGGTTCAAGGACTTAAGTTTCTGCCACCCACTTGGAAGACCTGGAATAAGTTCCCAGATTCTGGTTTTGGACTGGCTCAACCCTGGCTGTTGTAGGCATTTGTGGAGTGAACTGTCAGATGGGAGATCTATCTTCCTCCTGTGCGTTTAACGGAATAGTTCTTTATAAATAAAAGATGCCATAGACTGTGCCATAGCACCCACTGGCACACTCAGGACCTAGGGCCTACTAGGGGAACCGGGGGAACTCCCTTGTTAGGCTGTAGCTTCCTTCTGCTGGTGAGTGTGAGAGCCTAAGCAGGCCAGGCCAGGCAGGGCTGCAGCACACATCAGCATGTGTGTAAGCCGGATCTGGGGGCAGCATGTCCACATCACATGCTGGTGAGAGCCAGGTCAAGTTGGGTTACAGCATCCACTAGTTCACATGAGAGCCAGGGCTAGGGGGTGGGTCAGGGCTGGGGTAAGCTGCAGCACCTGCCAGCAAATGCCAAGATCGGGAACAAGCCATGCCAAACTGGGCCACAGCATCCATTGGCATATGCAAGACCTGTGGCTGGGAGCAGGCCTGGTAGAGAAACTTCAAGGATTTTCCTGCTAGGATCTTCTCCACTGGTAAGCATGAGAGTTGGGCCCAAGGAAGGGCCAAGCTGGGCTAGACTGCCATACCTGCTGGCATTTGTAAGAACCAAATTAAGTGCAGGCCCAACTGGGTGGGTACCCCCTCAACTATGTAAGCAATATTAAAAATAAAAATAAGGGCCTGGCGCAATGGCACAGTGGTTAAGGTCCTCGCCTTGCACGCCCGGGATCCCATATGGGCACCAGTTCTAATCCCGGCAGCCCCACTTCCCATCCAGCTCCCTGCCTGTGGCCCGGGAAAGCAGTCGAGGACGGCCCAAAGCCTTGGGACCCTGCACCCGCATGGGAGACCCAGAAGAGGCTCCTGGCTTCAGATCGGCATAGCATCGGCCGTTGCGCTCACTTGGGGAGTGAATCATCGGACGGAAGATCTTCCTCTCTGTCTCTCCTCTCTGTATATCCGCCTTTCCAATCAAAAAATAATAAAAATAAATCTTTAAAAAAAAATGTTTGAAAAACAAATAACTGCAGTTTGGGGGGGGCTCATATAGCAGGGTTTTAGTGTGGCAACAGCTTTGCTCAGTCGACAGTTTCAGCAAAAGCGCCTTCCACCTTTGCCAGCAATGTGGAGGCAGCATTTTTGAGATGGATGTGGACCAAAGATGCTGCCCTGGGGGAGATGGCTGACCCGGTGCCAGAGGACATGGTGCAGAGCCAGCAGCCCTCCCTGGCACGAGATGGCTGACACGGTGCCAGAGGACATGGTGCAGAGCCAGCAGCCCTCCCTGGCACACCTCTCGCCCTTTTCACATCAGCATCAGCAGATCCCCGCCCTTGTCTGTTAGGGGAAGGTTAAATCGAACCCCCTGGGGGACGCCATGCATGTCACTGAGACTCTAAAGTCCGTGTCCACTCAGAGGTCAGGCCCTGAGGAAGACCCCGGGACGTAGACCAAGATACCGCCACACCTCTCTAAGACTCCCAGCCCTGATCAAAGCCTGCCCAGGAATGATGTTTCAGAACTCCTATACAGAACTGAAATCTGCAATATAAACAGACAGCAGAAAACCACAGACAACATCCTCAATTTCACCTTCTTGGGATCCCACTAAGAGGACAGGAGGGGGTTAGTCATTCAGCTGAGCAGTTAAAAAGCCTGCATCCCAGGATTCCATGCCGGCCTCCAGCTGCAGACTCCACTTTCCTGATGGTGTACACCCTGGGAGGTAGCAGGTGATGACCATCCAGGGTGATGAGGACTGAGCTCCTGGCTGCCAGCTTCCACCAAGGCCCAACCCTGGCCAGCCCAGGCAGCTCCCGTCAAACAAGCAAATACATGCCCAGAGATCCCCTGGCTTGTCCACACAGACATCTACTAAGGAATACAGCTCCAGGCTGGGCTGGGCTTTTCCACAACTGCAAAAGCCAAGGGGGCCGGCCTGCAATGAGTGCTAATTAACGTAGGTCAGAGAGTCCTTTTCTAGCAGGTGAATTTCCCATCACAGGTGAAGTGGATTTCTTTGCAGTTTAGGAGAACAAATCTGAAGGCTTGGGTCCAGAGCAGTGTCCTAGTGGCTAAAGTCCTTGCCTTGCATTTACCAGGACCCCATATGACACCGGTTCATGTCCTGGCTGCTTTACTTCCCATCCAGCTCCCTGCCTGTGGCCTAGGAAAGCAGTCGAGGACGGCCCAAAGCTTTGGGATCCTGCACCCGTGTAGGAGACTTGGAAGAAGCTCCTGACTTTTTGTTTCGGATCAGCACAGCTCTAACCGTTGCATTCACTTGAGGAGTGAATCAGTAGACGGAAGCCGTTCCTCTCTGTCTCTCCTCCTCTCTGTATATCTGACTTGCCCGTAAACATTTTTCAAAAATCGAAGAAATAAGAAAGCATTCGTTTGTCAGCCCGCCTTAACTGCTGGTTCAGTGACAGGACGGTGAAAGCCAACCAAGCCGCTGACCCTCGGGAAGCTACGGCCTTTCTGTGGGATTTCCCAAGGGTTCTCAGAAAGGCAGCGACTGTGCTGGGAGCCCAGGCCTTTGCAGAGGACAGTCAGGGTCACATGAGCCTCAGCTGTGGTACTTAGCCGCCTGTGACCTCGAATGCTGCCTTGTTTCCTTATCCACACAAGTGATCCTAAAGGTGGAAAGGGTCTGGCACATCACCTGATAATAAATATTCTCTTTTCAATTCCTAGATTTTGCCAAGATGCCATCTCTCCCGCTGCGTCCACAGTGCAAAATGTCAACACGCAGCAGGAGGCGCAGGCGCGCGCAACGAGTCCTCGCGCGCGCGCGCGCACGTCCGTGGTCACGGGCGCAGTCCCGCGTCCCGGCGCCCGAGCCCGCGCCTGCGTAGAGGCGCCGCCCGAAGTTTGTTGTTTGTTTGTGGGGTGACCCCGTGTCCCCGAGCGCTGGTGGCGGCGGCGGGACGGGGCCGGGGTGCCGCCATGGCGGTGCGGCAGGCGCTGGGCCGGGGCCTGCAGCTGGGCCGCGCGCTGCTCCTGCGCTTCGCGGCCAAGCCTGGCCCGGCCTACTGCTGGGGGCGGCCCGGCCCGGTGACCGCCTGGGGTCGCCTGGAGCGCCCGGGCCGGGCCGCGGCACCCGGCCTGCAGCCGCGCAGGGTCGGGTGGAGGCTTCCCGACCGCTACCGCTTCTTCCGCCAGTCGGTGGCGGGACTGGCGGCGCGGCTGCAGAGGCAGTTCATGATGCGGGCCCGGGGCGGCGCGGGTCCTGGAGGCCGGGCCGTCTTTCTGGCCTTCGGGCTGGGCCTGGGCCTCATTGAGGAGAAACAGGCGGAGAGCCGGCGAGCGGCCACGGCCTGTCAGGAGATCCAGGTGAGCGGAGCTGTGGGCCCCGTGGACCTCGGGTGGGCCTCGGGCCGGGCGGGGGCGGGCTGGGGGTGTGGCCGGGGCAGGACGAGGAGCGGGGACAGGTTGGAGTGGCACTAGAAATGGGGCGGTCCCGGGGACAGACCCCTGAGCCGGGGATGGAGGCGTGGCGGTGAGTGAGATACCAGGTGGATGAGGGCACGGTGGAGGAGTCGGAGACGGGACTGGCACCTTCCACTTCCTTACTCGCACTGCGAGTTTTGGAAGATTGGCGCTTCCCAGTTGTGGTTCCAGTTGTGTGCGTTTTCTAAACTCCGAAGACAAGTACATCATTACATTCTTATCTCTGGAGGTAGATTCCATCCCCGTGCTGTGGAAAATACTCAGGCCAAGTGACTTGCGCAAAGTGACACAGCTGACGAATGCCCCACCCCAAGGTCCCGCTCCAAAGCCTGTTCCCTTGGCCAAGGATCCAGGCCTTCTTGGGACTGGCCACTTAGTGGCTGAGAATGGTGAGGGCAAGCACCAGAGGTGCATGTCAGTTAACCTGGCCGCTGAAGCCCACCAGAGGACCCCCGGGACTTGCAGATGAGTGAAGGAAAGTCCTGGTCCTGCTCAGCCGGAGCCTGCGCTGATCAGGGCTCCCTGGCACGCACAGCTAACGGGCTGTGTGCATCCAGGGAGGAGCTGATCCTAAGGCTTCTGCTCGCTGGAGGTGGCAGGTGTCCATCTGCCAAGGAAGCAGGCCTGGGCTGGAAGGAGCTGATGCTGCAGTCCACTCTGGGCTGGCCGAATCCCTCTTTCTTGTGGGGCTTGGAACCAAGCGCTGTGTTAGTGTTGGAGAGGTGTAGCGGTACCAGACGGCGTGACTGACCCCAGGGCACAGCCGCCAGAGGACCGGCCAGTAGCTCTCATGTCTCCTGCTTTCCAACCCAGTTCCTGTCCCTCAGTGCCACAGCTTGTCGTCTTTGTGTCCTCAGTAGTTTGGGGTGACAGGTGACATCCTGTCCCCAGCTCCTGTCTTTGCCTTCTGCCACAAGCTGGCAGAAGCCACTGGTGAGAAATCTTGCTTGAACTGAAAGAGGCTTTGTGTTCCGAGGGAATGGCCCTCCTAGGCTGACATTCACACACTCTGCTGGGCTTTCCAGTGCTTACCTAGGTGCCAGTTAATTCATATTACAAAATACAGGTGTTTGCTTTCTTTTGAACAGGAGCCTCAGATGGGGCGGGCATCATTTGCAATGTCCACATCCAGTTTGGAGTGTCAGTTTGAGTTCCAGCTTCCACATTTTGGATCCAGCTTCCTATCCAGGCCTGCTGGGAGGTAGCATAGGATGGCTCAGGTTACTGGGCCCCTGTCCTGGGTAGAATTTCAGTCTCTTGGCTTCTGCTTAGCCCATCTCCACTGGGTGTGGGCATTCAGGGAGCAGCCAGTGGATGGAGGAAGAGAGCTCTCTGTCATTTTGCCCATCGGGTGGGAAAAATGCATTTTAGAATTTTTAAAAAGATTGAGTTACCTGGAATGTGAACTTGCACAGCAGTGAAGGTGGTACTTGGCATGCCCTCATCCTGGAGTTTGAGCCCTGGCTGCCCCCCCTTTTTTTTATTGATTGCATTGCATTATGTGACACAGTGTTATGGGCACTAGGATTCCCCCCAACCCTCCCCTAACCCTCTCCCCATGGTGGATTTCTCCACCTTGCTGTGTTACCACAGTTCAAATTCAGTTGAGGTTCTTTCATTGGAAGTATTTACCAAGCATAAAGTCCAGTGTCTTATTATCCTAGTGGGTTCAACGATTTCTTGGTGAGACCATCTCTGGTCTGAAGGTAAAGCCAGCAAAGTATCATCCCAATCAATTAAAGGCCCCGACATAACATCAACAGCCATTTACAACCTTATGGCATTAATTGACATGGTATTGATTAATAGTATGTTGATAGGAAAATGCGGTTGCTTAACTACATCCTGTGACTTCTTCATAGACATTTCAATTTTGGTTTATATTCAACCTGATTCCATACAGTTATCAGTTTAGGTACAGTACATTTTTTTTAGGATGGGTGTGCAGAGAAATCCCCCATACCCCAGTGAGGCATAACTAATCTTTGTGTCCCATCTAGTGAGGCATGTTTGGGTCCACGCTGGCCGTTTCCTGTCTGATTCTAAGCTTTCCATGTTGTTGTCTGTCCATTCTAGATTTTTTGTCTGTTTGTATATTTGTTTGTTTGTTTTTAAATATTTATTTCATTTTTATTGGAAAGTCAGATATACAGAGAGGAGGAGAGACAGAGAGGAAGATCTTCATCCAATGATTCACTCCCCAAGTGAGCGCAACGGCCAATGCTATGCTGATCCGAAGCCAGGAGCCAGGAACTTCTTCCAGGTATTCCGCGTAGGTGCAGGGTCCCCAAGGCTTTGGGCCATCCTTGACTGCTTTCCCAGGCCACAAGCAGGGAGCTGGATGGGAAGTGGAGCTGCTGGGATTAGAATCGGTGCCCATATGGGATCCCGGCGCGTTCAAGGTGAGGACTTAGCTGCTAGGCCATGCCACCGGGCCCTGTTTGTTTGTTTTGAGGGGTTACTGGAACAATCCTAATGGTCACCGCGAAAGAGGGTAGGCACCCAGGCTAGGACCAGAGAGAGCTCGCCTCCCTAGTCCTGAAGGAAGTTTATTATTCTTCTGTTTCTGCAGATCGCTCAGGGCTCCTGGCCGTCGTTCCGATGGCGCTGGTTTCTGCACTGCAGAGTTTGGACTTCTTCCATCCCCTGTGGAGGCTCCAGATGGGGGTGGGTGACCTCAGAGTTCTCGGCCTCCAAAGGCACTCCTATTCCCTGTGGTTGGGATGTAGTCCTTGGTGTCCGTGTTGATGGTCCTTGGTGAGGATCTGGGAGTCTTCAGGGTTGGGATGTGAGCCTCCTCCTGACCCCCTGCTCCATACGCATGACCTCCTGTTAAGAGGCTTTCAGGGTCGCTCCCAATTCCCCCTTATGCCTGTGTAGCTTTACTATTGTCTAGTGCCAACTCGAGTCTGTTGTCTATGGGTTATCAGATTTGATCCTGATAGGCTATATTTCACGTCTTCCTCTCACTTTTTAGGGAGATGGAAGATTTCTCTGCATTCCCTCCCCATTATGGAGTAACATAGGGTATTAAGAGTGTTTTAGGTTTTACAGTTCTTTGATGTAGATCATAAGCATTCTGACTCACATCGATTGTTGTATTATAGGTTACAATGCATTGTCTTATTGCATTGGATACATGTTGTCAGAGGTTGCAATAATGTTACAATGTATTGGTATTATTTTCCAGATTAACAACTTTTCATCTCAGATTAAGGCAAACATGTGGTATTTAACCTTTTGGGATTGGTTCATTTCTCTTAGCATAATGGATTCCAGTTGGGCCCATTTGGCCACAAAGAACTGCATTTCATTTTTTTTTTTTGATAGCTGAGTAGTATTCCATGGAGTATATGAACCATAGCTTTCTTATCCAGTCCTCTGTTGATGGGCATTTCGGTTGCTTCCAGGTTTTTGCAATTATTGATTGTGCTGCTATAAACATAGGGGTGCATGTTGGTTTCTCATAAAACAGGTGTTTTGGATATATTCCTAGGAGTGCTATTGCTGGGTCGTATGGTATGCTGATTTTCAATTGATTTAGTATCCTCCATACTGATTTCCATAGAGGCTGTACAAGTTTGCAGTCCCACCAACAGTGGAGTAGGGTTCCCTTTTCCCCACATCCTCGCCAGCAAGTGTTAGTGGTGTTTTTTTGTGTGTGTGCCATCCTTTCTGGCTGCCCCATTTTTGATTCATTTCCCAGCACCCTATGAGGGTGCCATGTAGCATGCTTATGTCTTTATTACCGGAGCGGCAACTGGAGTCACCCAGCTCATGGGTGGTGGAGCCATTATCTGCACCTTGCCTGGCTCGGGGTGGGGGAGGTGAGTCTACTTTTTAACCATCTCCTGTCCAGTGAGGAGGCCTGTAGATCACACTTTCCTTGCCCAGACCTTGCCAGTTAGAAAGACCATGAGAGTGGAAGAGACACAACAGCCAAGGGCGGCCCAGCAGCAACGGGAGCTGCAGCACACAGCCCCGTTCTGCGAGCAGGGCCGCAGAGGAGCCTGCGAGGAACATCTCACCTGCACAAGGCTGACAGAGCTTAAGAATGGCTCCTTCTAATACGCTGGGGAAAGCAGCAGAGGGTGGCCCATGCGCTTGGGCTGTGTACCCAAGAGAGACCTAGAAGGAGCCCTTTAAAATTGCTTTTGTTTCCAAATTGCCATTATAGTACTGTGATTCCATGTGGTGTCCAACTGGGGTAGAACAGCGGCTGCTGCCTTTAAGTGGCAATGAGTGACAAACAACCCAGACGGACAGGAGGCAGAGGGCCCAAGTGCAGATTCTGTTGGGGAGAGTTGACAGCGAGTCAGCGTGTGCAGGGGTACGGGAGGCACACGCGAAGGCAGGGTGCATCACATTGCTCACACGGCCAGAACTACTGATGTCACGTGGCTGCACCCCAGCTGCTGCTGAGAGCACGTGATGGCGGCCAGGCCGGCAGTTTATCTTCCAGGCAGCACGGATTGACCGTGCAAGCCAGCAGCTGCAGTCTCGGAGGTTCACCTGGAGGAGGTTCCTACCGAGACACACACAGTCAGCCAATGTGGAAAGCTGGTGGCTCCTCAAAAAATCCAAAACAGACTTACCAGGGAACCCCACACTGCACTGCTGTTATTTTTATTGGAAAGGCAGATTTACAGAGGAGAGACAACGATCTTCCATTTGCTGGTTCACTCCCCCAAATGGCTGCCACAGCCATTGCTGAGCTGATTTGAAGCCAGGAGCTTCCTCTGCGTCTCCCACGCAGGTACAGGGTCCCAAGGCTTTGGGCCGTCCTCTACTATGTTCCCAGGCCACAAGCAGGGAGCAGGATGGGAGGCAGAGCAGCCGGGACAGGAACTGGCACCCATAACCCATATGGGATGCTGGTTCTTGCAGACAGAGGATTAGCCAGTTGAGCCATTGTGCCAGCCTCCCACAACCGCACTTCGGTGTAGCAGAAAGAGTTGGAAGCTGGACCAGGAACACATGCTCGGACATCCTTGTTCACAGCAGCATTATTGATACAACCAAAAGGCAGAGGCAATCCAAGTGTCCAGATAAATGGACAGATAGAATGTGGTCCATGCCTTGTGGTCCAAGGCAGTGTATCAGGCCGGTGTTGAAGCACAGTGGGTTAAGTTGCCAGTTGTAATGTTGAAATCCCATGTGGGTACTTAGTCGGTCCTGGCTGCTCCTCTACTGATGCAGCTGTTTGCTGATGGCGGGGGGAAAGTGGCGGAGGCTGGCCCCAGTGCCTAGACCCCTCCACTCACATGGGAGACCCGGAAGAAGTTCCTAGCTGCTGTCTAGCTCAGCCCTGGTCGTTGCAGTCATTTGAGAAGTGAACCAGCAGATGGAAGACCTTTCTCTGTCTCTCCCTTTCTTTGTAACTACCTTTCAAATAAAACAAATCTCTCTCTTTTTTTAAGAGATTTATTTATTTTTTATTGGAAAGGCAGATATACAGAGAGGAGGAGAGACAAGAGGAAGAGCTTCCATCCACTGGTTTATTCCCCAAGTGACCGCAATGACCAGTGCTGTGCTGATCCGAAGCCAGGAGCCAGGAGCTCTTCCAGGTCTCCCATGCAGGTGCAGGGTCTCATGGCTTTGGGCCATCCTCGACTGCTTTCCCAGGCCACAGGCAGGGAAGTGGATGGGAAGTGGGGCCGCTGGGTTTAGAAGCAGAACCTATATGGGATCCTGGCGCGTTCAAGGCAAGGACTTTAACTACTATGCTATCGCACCAGGCCCTAAGTGAAATAAATCTTTTAAAAGCAAAGGAAAAATTAGAGCCTGGGTGAGCCAAGAAATGGCAGCACTGCTACCTGCCGCTGTGAGAGCCAGCAGGTGTGCTGTCCCTCCCAGCGCCGCACTGTGTGGCAGCCATCTCACTGCCTGTCCCTGTCAGTGCCCTGTCCTCCTGTCTCCCTTCTGAACACAGTGGCCCACGAGACGCCCAAGAAGCAGGAACAGGCAGGCAGGATGGAGTGAGCTCCCCGTGGTTTCTACTGAGCACTCGTTCCTGGCAGCCTGGACCACGGGAGGCGGAGGGAGGCAGAGCACTGTGTGCCCCGAGGGACTCACTAGTCCTGACCTTGCCCTTGATCCACAGCTTGCTATGATGGTCTGTGTCTGACACTGCCTCCTCCCCCTCCTCCTTCCCTTCCCTGGGGCCTCCCTGACTGCTGTCACATGGTGCACTCTTTCCTCGCAGGCCATTTTCACCCAGAAAAGTAAGCTGGGAGCTGACCCCCTGGATGGCAGGCGCTGGCAGGGCTTCCGGCTGGAGGAGTACCTGATCGGGCAGTCCATTGGCAAGGGCTGCAGTGCCGCTGTGTACGAAGCCACCGTGGCTGCGTTGCGTGTGAACCTGGAGGAGGCAGAAGGCACCAGGCTTCCCGGGAGAGGCACAGAGCTCACTACGGCAGGAACGACCGAGATGTCCGGCCCAGGGGCCCCCCACTTTCCCTTGGCCATCAAGATGATGTGGAACATCTCGGTAAGCACCATTGCCCCAAGTGCTGAGCCGAGAGGGCCCCGGGGAGGGCATCCAGGAGGTTGTTAGCAAACCACACAGACCTCACGGGACCAGTGCCTGTGGAGCACGCCTTCCTTGCCTGCTGGCTGTGACACGGCCACGATCACCTGGGGATCGGCAGCTCAGCCTTGAAACTGCTCCTAGGAGATGCCAGTGTGGGGGTCTGGGGCCACCCTGAGCAGCGAGCATGAGTCCCTTGCAGCCCAACACTCCTGCCATCCCCTCCCTCCTGTGCCCATCCTGCTAGAGAGGAGGTAGGCTCCTCCTCTTTTCCTGCCCCTCACACCCCCACCTCTCGCTGGAGGGCAGCTCTCAGAAGGACCAGTGCTTTGGGAAGTGGCAGAGTACTCCCCAGCCTTAAGGCCACAGATGATTGCACACCTAGCTGGGTTAATAGCTGAGAAGTTGCCAACCCCTTTACCTGTGGCAGAGCCACCAGGCGGGGACATCACCCTGGTTGGGGTGGGGCTTCAGTCCCGGCTGCTGGCCGACTGGTGGTCCCCGTGGGCCTCCTCGGTCCTGAGAGCTGTTGATAAAGAAATGAAGGAGACCACCTGCTCCTGCTCCCTTTGGGTTTTGTTGCTTTGGGGAATCAACAAAGGCTGTTCTGTAGCTCAGCACCCTCAGCCAGAGGGGAGCTGGGGGAGCCTAGCAAAGGGGTCCCAGTACCCGTCTGGCAGTGACCGCAGGCGTCCGGCAGGAGGAGTGACCCTAGCCCAGCCCATCTGTTACAGAAGGTTTCAAGTTGGGACACAGGGTTGTGGCACAGTGGTTTAGCTGCTACCTACAAGACCAGCATCCCATCTGAGTGCCAGTGTCAGTTCCAGTCGCGGCTGCTTCACCTCGGATCAGCCTTCCACTAATGTGCCTAGGAAAGCAGCAGCAGGTGGAGACCTGGGTGGGGTTCCATATCCTTGGCTTTGGCCTGGTCCAGCCCTGGCCATCATGGGGAATGAACCAGCAGATGTAGCTCTTCTTTCTGTCTCCCCCTTCTCTATAACTCTCTGCGTCTCAGTTTTTTACAAAAGTTTTAAAACTAGTGGTGGTTGTACGTATTTGCAGGCCACAGTGTGGCATTTCAGAGGGGCTGTTGAGATCAGCCCATCAGCACATACTGACAGGCCCAGGCAGGGAGCATGGCCCCTTCTCCAACATGGCTTCCCACTGGCAGGCTGGGAGCAGCTTCCTGGCGCTTGCTCTTGTAACAGATACAGGTTACTATACGGCAGAGTCTCCACTAGGTGGCGTGGCGATAGGAACTTAGTCCTGCAGCTTCACATCCTACCCTCCCCTGTCTGGTCACCTAAGGGCTGGAAGTGTGGGCAGCGTCCCTGGGGCTTCCAGCAGTAGCCAAGCTGGCCTTCCCACCTCCTATAGGTCACCTGAGCTTGAAAGTGTCTCTTCTGCGACACCCTGGTCCTCTCTGCTTGTGTTGTAGGCGGGCTCTTCCAGCGAGGCCATCTTCAGGACTATGAGCCAGGAGCTCGTTCCAGCCAGCCGTGTGGCCCTGGCCGGGGAGTACGGAGCCGTTGTTCATAGGTAAGTGTCCCGGCCCACCAGGCTGACTGTTGTCGGAGAGCAGAATCGTCGCCTGTGTCCGCAGCACACCCAGCACCATGCCTGGTGGGACATGCAGCGCATGGATGTTGACTGAATAATGTGGATCTTCAGGAGGGGGAGAGTTTAGCTTGGGAGCAGCTACAGATCTTCTGGCCCCAGCTGGTGAAGCAAATGGCAAATTCACATCGAAGAGGCCACCCCAAAACGCCGGTTCCGAGAATAGGGGAAATTGCCGAGTTCCAGGAGTCTTCCTTAGTGGTGTGCAGATGCGGCGCCACCTAGCAGCGACAGCCGTGCCATCTCCAGGGGCTGCTGCCTTCCCTGGTGGCGCAGGGGATGGTGACTGCTGTGTTCTTCAAGAGTCCTCCATGTGGGCAGTGCCCAGCAAGCACAGAACAGAGCATGGTGTGGGCAGTGCTGGGATGTGTCTGCTCAGATGCCCTGGGCAGCCCGGGAGAGGCCTGTGTGCCCACTGCAGGGGCCCGGGCCACTCAGAGGTGCCGCCCAGTTGCTTTTGGAGGACCAGCAGCATTTCCGGAGGTCTAGACAGAGCTGTTCTCGGTGGAGGAGGGAGGGAGCGGATGGTGGCCCGAGGACAGTGGCCTGTGGGACAGGCCAAAACAGCTCTGTGTCTCCGGCTGGTGCCAGGATGCCTGCTCTCACTCAGTGGCTTGCTGGGCACTGACGGGCGGACTGCCTCAGCGTCCTGTCAGATGGAGTAAGTCAGGAACTGAAGGGAATAAGCACGGAAAGCCCCACCATGGCGTGGAAGGTTCCAGGCACTGGGTCCCAGCTGATACACCCCTCCCCCGCCCCCTCTGAGCAGAATAGTGGATGCTGGGAAGTCAGCTGCTCTGAGGCTGAATCGGACTTCATGTGCTATCGGGCACCCCAGCCCTACCCCCTAGGCTCCCTTTGCATTTTCTTTTAAAGATTAATTAACCTAAGATTTATTTATTTTTATTGGAAAGACAGATTTACAAAGAAAAAGATCTTCCATCTGCTGGTTCACTCCCCAGATGGTTGCAACAGCCAGAGCTGAGCTGACAGCCAGGAGTTGCCTCCAGTTCGCCCACATGGGTGCAGGGGCCCAAAAACTTGGGCCATCCTCTGCTGTTTTTCCCAGTCCATAAACAGGGACCTGGATCAGAAGTAGAATAGACTAGAACCAGTGCCCTGTGGGAAGCCAGCATTGGCAGGTAGAGGATTAGCCTGTTGAGCCACTGCACCCAGTTTGCTTATTTTTTGAAAATCAGAGTTACAGAGTTACAGGCCATCTGCTGCTGCTTTCCTGAGCCTTGGGCAGGGAGCTGAATCAGATGTGGAGCAATCAGAACAGGAACTGGTGCCCATGCTGTTGGCCAGTGCCACAGGTGGCAGCCTTAGCCGCCGTAACACCAGCCTCTCAGCGTCTAGTCTGACATGCGGACTCTTGATTGGCAGCTGTGCTGCTGTGCCGAGGGGCTCTGCTTGGCTTACATACACCCGACCACTTGTTCCATGTCTGCGGAGTGACGGACAGCTGTGCAGGTGGCACTGGCTAACTGCTGGTGCCACCTTCACTTCTCCTTTCCTGCTGCACCCTGCTGTGCTGCCTCCACACTGCGCTGCCCAGCTCCTGACCCTGCAGCTCTGGGCCACCAGCCCCAGGGCCACACGCCCCGGGCAGGGCAGGTGTCCAGCTGGTCTCGGCTCTGCTCCATTCTCCCCTTTGTACCATTAGCATCCTTGTTTCTTTTCCTGGTGGCTCTTCTGTCTGCCGACGTTGGTTTACTCCCCTCTGCCTTCCTGTGCCCTGGTAAAGGCTGTGGTTTCCTTTCCACTTGGCTCTGTCACGGCCTGGCCGGGCTCTTGGTTCACGCACCCTTCGCTAGGTCTCTGCTGTTATTGTAGGCTCATTGCCCTTGGGGCTAGCAGGCAGGGCCACACTAGCCAGCATGTGGGCAGGGCTTCCTGGGGCAGGTGTGGCAGGGCGGGCAGGTGATGTCCCTGCTCCTGATGTGTCTATTCCCATCATTCTTCACAAAAAGGCGATGCTGAGACCTGAGCTGCCCTTGACCATCGCACAGCCCTGTCCCGCACAGCCATGGCCCTGCGCTGGGAGGACCCCTTCCCGGGAGATCCCTGTGAATAGGTTGTGACTCCACAGCCAGCTCCTTGTCTGTACCTCCTAGGCCCAGTGTGACTCACCACTTTGCGGCTGACCTTGAGCCCTGAGAAGATGAGGCACTTGGCCCGAGACTGCCTAGGGGCGAGCCTGGGTTTCACTGCCAGGCCGACAGACTCTGACTGTGCTTCCCTATTCCCTGTGTTCTGACCAGGGGATAGAGAGACAGGTAGGACAGGGCTGTGTGACGGTCAAGGGCAGTTATCACCTGTGCTCCCACCATCATGGTACACAAGAAATCTACCGAAATATTCAGCAGACAGCTGTCGGCCAGTACTCATTGTGACTTAGCCCCATACATTTGTTCCATTTGACTGACAGAAAGACCAAGGGGAGCCCCAAGCAGCTGGCCCCTCATCCCAACATCATCCGCGTTTTCCGCGCCTTCACCTCGTCTGTGCCGCTGCTGCCAGGGGCCCTGGTGGACTACCCCGATGTGCTGCCCCCTCGCCTCCACCCTCAGGGCCTGGGCCATGGCCACACGCTGTTCCTCGTGATGAAAAAGTGAGTGGTGGGCACAGCAGGCCCTGGGCTTGCTTGGCCTCCCCGCACTCGGGAGTGCCCTCAACCCAGGCCTCCCCCGGACCTGACCGGCTGTGCTAAGGGTCTGTGCTGCCCCGAGGGTGGGTTCCCTTCAGGATGCTGATTGTGAAAGAAACCCCTCTTCTTCTGGAACCTTGTTCTCACCCAGTGCCCCGCCCAGTGATGAGCGCCTCTGATCCGGGGCTGGCCTCTGCTTTTACCTAAAGGCAGCTGCCCTGCCTCACCTCCATCTGCCCAGTGTGGCTGTGGGGTGTGTTAGCGTGTCACGTGGGGTGAGGGACAGAAAGGATTGCACGGGGAAATGAGATCAGAAGTTTCGTAGTGGGGAGAGGAAGGCATGGTCCAACAGTGACAGTGTGGGAACCAGAGGTTCTGTGCCCTCCCGCCAGCTACCCCTGCACCCTGCGTCAGTACCTGCGCGAGAATACCCCCAGCCCCCGCCTGGCCATGGTGATGACCCTGCAGTTGCTGGAGGGCGTGGCTCACCTGGTGCAGCAGGGCATCGCGCACAGAGACCTGAAGTCGGACAACATTCTTGTGGAGCTGGACGCAGGTGGGTGCCCTCTGTGTCCTCAGGGTTCCCTGGCTACGCTAGAAGCCACGGGCATCCCCCATACTTGTCACTGGGCCTCGTGAGGCCCTCTTATTCATGTCTTGCTGGTGGCTTTGTAGGGCCCTAGGAGGGCCTCTCGGGGGGCCGTAGGGCAAGACGCTGAGCCACTGGCCTCGGCCTGTTTCTCCGCAGATGGCTGTCCCTGGCTGGTGATCACCGACTTTGGCTGCTGCCTGGCTGATGAACGCATTGGCCTGCGACTGCCTTTCCCCAGCTGGTACGTGGATCGGGGCGGCAACGGCTGCCTGATGGCCCCGGAGGTGAGTCCTGCTGTCGCTCTGTGCTGCGTTTCTACCACATGGCAGGGCAAGACATGGTCCCTCGGTGTGTTTCCTGCACTTCGTGTCTTCTGACCTGTGATGTATGATGTGGCACAAGTGTATTCCCTGTGCTGTAACATGAGCCCCATAAAGCTCCCAGGAGACATGAGCTTGGTCCCCAAGCCAGTGCTCCCCAAGTCCTGGGCTCCTCGGAGCAGAGGTCAGATCAGCCCGCAGGCTGAGGGACACCCAGGAGCAGAGCAGGTAGGCCTGCCCGCAGCCTGACGTCTCCACGTCTACTTTCTGACCAGGTGTCCATGGCCCATCCGGGCCCCAGGACAGTGATTGACTACAGCAAGGCCGACGCCTGGGCCGTGGGAGCGATTGCCTATGAAATCTTCGGGCTTGCCAATCCCTTTTACGGCCAGGGCAGGGCCCGCCTCGAGAGCCGCAGTTACCTGGAGACGCAGCTGCCTGCTCTCCCTCGGTCAGTGCCTCCGGATGCCAGACAGCTCTTGAGGTCCCTGCTCCAGCGAGAGCCCCGCAAGGTGAGGGGGCCCTGGCTGGGTGGAAGCCCCGGCGTATTCCCAAGTGAAGGACAGGTTGGGACCAGCACCCTGGGGACACTCAGAGGCTCCATAGGCCACAGGCAAAGGCCAGCTGCACAGAACACGAAGTAGATTTTGGCATAAGTAGTAGTGGGGGAACAAGTCACCAAACATCAGAATTCTAGAATTTGTTTTTAGAATTTTTTTTTTATTGATTACATTGCATTATGTGACACAGTTTTATAGGCACTGGGATTCTTCCCTCCCCACCCCATAACCCGCCCTCCACCCCCCCATGGTGGATTCTTCTTGCAAGAATTCTAGAATTCTAACAGTCCAACCTTTCTTGGCTTTTTTAGTTGCTGAAAAGCTGCTCAGGGCGGGGTGGAGGTGGGGCAGGTTGGGCCACCACATCGCATATGACAGAGCTTGGCTTCGGCCCAGGATCCTACACATTTGTTAAGAATTTTTTTTTTTTTTTTTAAGATTTACTTATTTATTGGAAAGGCAGATACACAGAGAGGAGAGACAGAGAGGAAGATCTCCCATCTGATGATTCACTCCCCAAGTGAGCGCAACGGCCGATGCTATGCTGATCCGAAGCCAGGAGCCAGGAACAACTTCTGGGTCTCCCACACGGGTGCAGGGTCCCAAGGCTTTGGGCCGTCCTCGACTGCTTTCCCGGGCCACAAGCAGGGAGCTGGATGGGAAGTGGAGCTGCTGGGATTAGAACTGGCGCCCATATGGGATCCCGGGCGTGTTCAAGGAGAGGACTTTAACCACTAGGCCACGCCGCCGGGCCCGTGGAGTCTTTTTTTCTTTTTGAAATATTTATTTTTATTGGAAAGGCAGATATACAGAGAAGAAGAGAGACAGAGAGGAAGATCTTCCATCCAATGATTCACTCCCCAAGTGACTACAACAGCTGGAGCTTCTTCCCGGTTTTCCACATGGGTGCAGGATCCCAAGGCTTTAGGCTGTCCTCAACTGCTTTCCCAGGCCACAAGCAGGGAGCTGGATGGGAAGTGGGGTAGCCAGGACATGAGCCAGCGCCCATATGGGATCCTGGTGAAGATTTAGCTGCTGAGCCATTGTACCAGGCTCCCTTCAGAATTACTTTTAAAAAGATTTGGAGGGCCTGGCATGGTAGCCTAGTGGCTGGAGTCCTCACCTTGTATGCACCAGGATCCCATATTGGCGCCGGCTTGTGTCTTGGCAGCCCTACTTCCCATCGTGCTTCCTGCTTGTGGCCTGGGAAAGTGATTGAAGGTAGCCTGGAGCCTTGAGACCCTGCACCCACGTGGAAGTCTGGAGGAGGCTGCCGACTCCTAGCTCCTGGCTTCACATTGGCTTGGCTCTGGCCATTTTGGCCACTTGGTGAGTGAATCATTGGACAAAGATCTTTTCTCTTTGTCTCTTTACCTCTCGGTGTCTGACTTTCCAATAAAAATAAATCTTAAAAAAAAAAATCAGGGGACCAGCAAAGCGACGCAGCAGGTTAAGCCTTTGCCCATGACACTAGCATCCTATAGGAGATAGAGTCCCAGCTGCTCCACCTCTAACCCAGATCACTGCCACATGCCTGGGACAGCAGGAGAAGGTGGCCCAACTACTTGCTACCCACGTGGGAGGCCTGAATCAAGTGCCGGGCTCCTGGCTGGCCTAGATGTTCGGAGCCTCAGCTTCCCTTCTCCCACTTCCCTTGTAGAGGCCATCTGCCCGAGTTGCTGCAAATGTGCTGCATTTAAGCCTCTGGGGGGAGCATCTTCTAGCCCTGAAGAACCTGGAGCTGGACAAGATGGTGGGCTGGCTCCTCCAGCAGTCAGCCGTCGCCCTGCTGACCAACAGGCTTGCAGAGAGGAGCTGCGTGGAGACAAAGATGAAGATGCTGTTTCTGGCCAACCTGGAGTGTGACGCGCTGTGCCAGGCAGCCCTGCTGCTGCGTGCATGGCGGGCAGCCCCGGGGCAGCTCTGCACATAACTGGGAACGACTAAAGCAGTGGGCAGCACCTGTGTGTGATGGTCTGTGCATGCTGAGGGTGGGCCGTGTGAGCAGGCAGGAGACAGAGACAGGAGTCGGAGACAGGATGGCTGGGGGCTGGGCAGCCGAAAGGGAGGCCCAGGGCTAGGGGCAGGGCAGGGCAGGGGTTAAGTTCATGTGATTGGAAAGGTAAGCCATGCAGGCCTGTTCTGGTACCATGACGACACTGCTCTCCATCAGCTGTGTTCACCGTGAAAGCGAGTTCACCGTGATGTTGCAGCTACTGCATCCTTGTAGCACTGAAGCAGCCCGAACAGATGAACAGCTAGGCCTGTGTTCTGACAAAGCTTTGTGAGCACAGAGATCTGGCTTTATGTGTCACTGTCCATCTTTTTAAGCGTCTGAAAAAGTAAATAATCTTGAGCTCGCGGGTCATATACAGTCAGCCCAAAGGCCACAGTAAAACACACGGCCTGAATGGCAGCTCGGCACCAGGTCCCTGTCAGCGGTAATGCTGCTGATCTGAGTATCCCCGGACTAAACCCAAAGGGACGTGCCGCTGCACCAGGCAGCGACCCGGGTGAGGCCACCAACCCAGGCCCCACCTGAAACGCGCTGTCACTAGGCCTGCAGACCCTGCCGGCCAAGCTGCCAGGTGTGGCAGGGCTGAGGGCTTAGCCTGCATGCCCTGCCAGGAGGGATCCTGGCTGACACTGGCCCAGGGGAGCAGGCATTGGGCCGTGGCGCCATCGTCACAGGCCACCGGGGCAGAGGGGAGCGCTTGCACAAGTCTCTATTCAGGTGTCAGCTGGAGAAGCGCCACAGGAGGCCTGCGGGGTCTGCAGGGCGGGGGACTGCGCGCAGCCATGCTTCTCTACGGCCCGGGAGAGTCCAAGAGCACCTCACCACAGAACTGATCCAGCCAGCGAGTGAGCACCTGAAAGCTACTGCTGTGGTATTATCAACATGCTGATTGCCCTTCTGATTAACATTTCCTGCAGGAATTGTGAAAAATTAAATGCAAATTACAACCACAGAATGTCAATGTGCCTGGAACTGAACACTGGCTTTCATCCTTAGACCTGAAATACGAGAAGGTTTGGAGGGGAAGGTTTCAGTTTATGTGCTTCTCAGGACTCAGGTTAACACCTGAGCCAGGTGGACGTGAAGGTCAAGCTCAACCATGCCAGCGGCCGTCATCCGGCCTGTGCCTGGCATCTCCTGAGCGGTGAGGGCAGTCCCTCTGGGTTAGGGAACACAGCTGTCTTAGCAGCCATGAAAGAACCTGCAACTTCTGACTCAGTCCCCGGCAGGAGGCGCCCCACATCAAGAAGCATGACAGATTGGGGCCCTCTGAGGACAAATTTTTTATTTTAGAAATGAATGACCACACACCGTCAAGATGCCACTTAGTAATTGAAGGAGTAAAACTTGACAAAAGATTCCCTGTTCCCACCCCCAGTCCCCATGGCCCATCTCCCACTGAGGTAAGGCTGTGCCACTTGCCCATGGCTTAAAAAAAAATAATAAAACCCGACCCTGGTCCCAGGCCGCAGCCTGTCAGTCCGATTTTTCCTTCTCCTTCATGTGCAAGAAGACGATGCTAAAGATGAAGAGGCCCAGCATCATGGAGAATGCGCTGGCATAGTAGGGATAGGCCGAGGGGATGAAGCGCTCATACTGCGTGTGCTGCAGCGGCCTCACCGACACCTGCAATGGCACAGGAGCACGCGTACAGGCCCTGGCCGCTGGCAAGCCCCAGCGGGCACATGCCTGGCAGAACGCAGGGTCACTGCTTACCTGCGTGGAAGAGTACAGGTGTGTGTAGCCGAGCCGGTTGTAATCCACCTTAAATTGGAACACGCCATAGACGTCGGGCAACTTGAACTGGACGCTGTATTTGCCACCTAGGGAAGAAGCAGCACAGATCCCCGAGGGCGCGTCCAGGGTACGTCTCACGGGCCACCTCCTGCCACCCTCTCGTGGGGATGCCTACCTTTCCTCTTCAGGAAGGTCCTCACAAAAGGATCGATGCGGACAAATTCCAGCTGGATGTCGTCGCCATCAAAGGGAACCCACCTGCCGTTGGAGAGCTGCTCAATCACGATGCTGTACTCCTGGGGGGAGACCAGGGAGCTGTGCTCGTGTCTGCCGCCCGCCCCGGGGCCTCAGCATGGTATTCAGGCCCCCTGCAAGTGACCCAAGCCCCTCGCCACCCCTGAATGGACCAGCCAAGTGTAGCCCCAGGCTGCAGTCCTGCAGGCAGAGGGGGCTAATCCTCACTTCCGCCCCTTTGGCCTGGCACCCGGGCTCGGCAGCCGCTGCAGAGCTGAGCTGAATCAACTGAAGCCCCCAGGGGGTTCTCCCACCCCACAGAGCGCTCACCACCAGGTCAGTGACAGTGTAGGCATTGGGGGGCGAAGTCTCGCCCACCCGGTGATGGGACACAGGCCCCACACGGAGCACTCCCTCCTCCTTGAACACCCAGCGCGATAGGGCCACGGCCAGCTCATAGTTGCCTGTCTGTGGGTACCTGCAGAGGGAAGGAGGGGCTTAGAACCACAGCCAGCATTTTGCTGTGCCTGACAGCCCAGGCTGTTTGACCCACATACCACGACAGAGCTCACTTGGCAGCCCTCTGTCAGCCCCAAGCATCCAGGAGCCACTGTCAGGGCAGAGAACACCACGGGTATGGGTGGTGCTGACTTGCACAATACCATTTTCTAAAAGGACCAAGGGGTTGTGGCCTCAAAACCAGTCTACTACTAAGGGCTAGTAGAAGCGCCAACACCAGCAGCAAAATCTTCCAAACACCTGCAAGCCCGAGGCCTCCAGGGCTCGTTCCCCTTCACGCCTCCCTGGCAGACCCAGGCAGCACCTCCCAGACCATGCCCCCATGCCCGCACCCACCTCTGGGCACCCGGTGTGGCCTTCTGCACGGCTGAGTTGAAGAAGGCGTCGCTGAAGAAGTCCAAGGAGCCACTGAAGATGACGCGGGCATTGTTCCTGGCCTGGAGGCCAGCGATCAGGAGGGTGTTCTTGCCCACGGCGTGCGGGTACTGGCAACATAATGGGGCTGTCACCCAGGTGCAGCCATGGGCCAAGGCAGGACGGTGCAGGACGCACCAGACAAGCCCAGCCCCATCTGGGGAGGAACCTGAAATCCTGATGTCTCCACCCCAACATCCCTCTCACCTGGGTGATAGGCTTATCCGGGAAGAAGGAGTACGAAGTAGACGAGCCCGTCAGGATGTCCAACACCAAAGGATTGTCAGGATCGGCCACCATCCTGTGGGAGCACAGAGAGCCCAGTGGTGCCCAGGAGCCACCAGGAGCCCAAGGACACGAGCCCCAAGGCTTCCCTCCCAGTCCACCTTTCTCCACGGCACTCAGTGCTGTAACAAGGGAATGTGACTGTCTTCCACATGACCCTCCCCTACATCCTCTGGAGGCCCCCAGAGTAAAAGCTGCTTCCCCAGCTGCCTTGGGCTTCTCCCTGCTCACTCACCCAACTCCCCGAAAGAGGATGGGATTCAGAGACGACTTCCCAACAATGGTTGGGGCTTTGAGCAGGTTCTCGGTGTCCGCCACGATGAGCGTGTGCTGCAGAGGGTAAGCAGGGGTCAGGAGAAGGCAGTGCCAAGCCCAAGAGGCCGCCCTGAGAGCCAGCAGGGGACAACCCCGATTACCTGTCCAGGGTCCGAGACATCATAGTTGTGATGGTCAATGACAGCCGTTTTCTCCTCATCAAACTCAATCCCGCACTCACTGCCCAGCTCTCGGAGAGGGTCACCTGCAGATCCAAGAGGTGCGTGGCTGAGCCCCACACATGTGGGCCTGGGCCAAGCGGGGTCACTTGTCTGCTTCCTCAAGACTTGTCCTCTGCTGGCCAGCCATGTGGCTTCACCGGGCAGGGCTGAGCCCCGAGTGGCCCAAGCCACAGCATGCAGCCACCCTGGGGGCAGTGGGAGTGAGGGAAGGCTGGCATCTGGACTGCCACAGCCACCTCCTGGCCCTTGTTCTCTGCCACTGTGCAGGGAGTTTGCTCTGCACAAAAGCAATTAGCTCACCTTGCCGTCACCTTACCAGGACACACATGTAGAGTAGGGAGTTTAAAAACCTGCCATTTTTACAGATGGACAGCCTGGCCAGATGAGTGACTCGCATGTGGGGTTCACATGCTTTCTCCGTACTTGTGGAGACCTTGGACAATGTCAAGACTTTGGAACACAGAGCTGTCAGACTAGGCTCCCTCAATTTGCTTTTCAGAAGGAGGTGCCATCAAAACAGCATGAGAAGCTACCCAGGCAGAGTGCCCAGCCCATCAAAAGACCCACCCTCACGGCAGGGCAGCAGAGGGGCCAGATGTCCAGGGCTCCACAGTTCTGTCATTGACCCCACAGCTACGGCCTGCCCAGCCTGGCCAGTGTAGCCATTTTCCCTGGGAAAGCTCTCCCGCTCCTTGGCAAACTGGTGGAAAGCACCAGAACGACCCAGGTCACACTCACCAATGTCTGAGCTGGCGGCTACCAGGACGCTGCCCCCACCGTCAATGAAGGCGCTGATGGTCTCCACGTTGATGTTGCCGCCAAAATCTGGAAGAACGTACCCAACACAGTGACCCCCAAGACATCTGGTTTTCCAGCTTGGGGTGGGGGCTGCAGTCAGCCACTGGTAATCCCCATGGGAGGGGGATCCCAGACCACTGCACACAGGACAGACACTCCATGTTCCCACAGCATGAGTCAAATAATGGCTCAGATTTTAAACTGCTGATCCAACTTCCTGGACGCATATAAAATGCAGTGATTCCTTGTGCCAATGCTGTGGTGCAGTGGGTACAATGCAATTGTCCCTTAGTATCCATGGGGACATGCCCCACACCCCTGGAAGCCTCATCCGCCATGTAACAGTGAGTCCCTGCACCTTCAGCCGTGCCCCGTGTACTCCAGACACCTCCACACGCTTAGCCTGGTCACCGATGGTGTGTGAACAGTCACACAGCACCATTTCATGACAAGTTTAAAGCCTGTAGACATTCAGTGCAGGTGCAATCTTTGTTTCCAGATATTTCTGACCTGTGAGTGTGGAACCCATGGTCATGGAGAGCCCACCGCCTCCACACAGAAACACTGCATTTTCTCCTCACAGATACAATGTGACTTCAACTCATCCCTGCAGGGTTCACTGGGGTGCTGGTCTCCACTGAAGCCAGGTGAGGTCCCGCCAGTGCCCAGGAGCACCTGCCCCGAGGACAATGCCAGCACTGGCCATCATCGTGCCCGCCGGCCTAGCACGAGGCCCGCAGATTACGTTCAGGACAGCCACAGCACAATTGCTCAGAACACTTTTTTAGCATCATCATCAAAACGATTCGTTCACCTCCAGTTTCTAACTGCCACAGGCTCTGACTGCTGTAACCTGGAGTCAATTCCACCCCAATCACTTCTGCCTCCAGAAAGGCCAAAGACACATGTGCGAGGGCAGTCGGGAGTAACGCAGTGACAGGAGCCCAGGGAAGCACTCCAGTGACAGGGGCTGCCCGTGAAGCCCAAGGCAGGAGTGCCAGGCCTGCCTGCCCCAGCAGGCGCTTCCTCTCACCGCTGCTGTCCCTCCACGCAAACTAATAAACAGGAAGGGAACACCGAGTCCGGAGTTTGCAGGAAAGCACCCCCCTCCCACCATGAACTCCACGGTGCTGGAGGCCCTTCTTCACACCACTGCCTGCGATAGATGGAGGAGACAGCATGGAGAGCGCGCTGAACACGGAACCATCAACCGGCTTATGCGGTTACGATATGCAAACTCCCAGTTCCCGAGAGAGCCCGTCAACCTGCCCCAGATCCCCCCTGCCTCCACCCAGCCATGGTTCACGGCCTTCTCGCCGGGCGAGCTGCACCTGCGGGAGGCCGGGCACCGCAGCCCTTCCCCCGGGGACCTGCCGGGTCAGGAGCGGGCAAGTTCTCCAAGCAACAGCGCCGAGGCCCGGGACCCAGCCCCTGGCTACTCGGAGCAGCAGGAGCCCGGCTCCGGGGGCGTCCCGTGGCCCGTACCTTCCACCGACGGGGAGAAGATGATGAGGTTGTCGAAGAGAAACTCGCCATACTTGATGAGGGACAGGCTGGGGTCGTCGGCGCTCTTGAAGGTGAGTTCAAAGCCCCGATCTGGAAGAGAAGCAAGCGGGGAAACTGAGGCAGAGCGCACGCGGCTGCCCGAGTGGAAGGACAGAGCGCGTTTCCTGGACCCCACGCTCACCCTTAAGGCTCCGGAAGAAAAGCGAGTGCGTCTCCCGCAGGTTGAGGTTGTCCAGCAACACCAGAGTACGGGGACCGCTGGCCAAGGCCGAGCCGAGCAGCAGCAGCAGCAGCCAGGAGAGCGCCCCAGCCCGGGCCATGGTCACCCGCCTGCCAAAGCGCCCAGCGCCCGGACACCGGAAGTGTCCCCTCCTCGACCGTCCAATCGCCGCCCGCGGCCCTGCCTTACCACCCGGAAGTGATCGGGGTGCGCGGGGTCGAACGGCCGCAGCTGCGGGTGCACGGGCCAGGAGCCGGGAAGCCGCCCGGAAGCGCCCCAGTCAGTGACGGAGTCTCTGGCGCCTATTGGCGGAAAGGGCGCGAGGCCCCACCCCTCCGACGGAAAAGGCTCAATCGGAGCGAGCCAGCTCTGCAGCCGCAGCCAATCAGCGAGGTCGAAGCCCCGGGCTCCGTCCCGGTTTTGAACCCGCCGGCTCGGATCCCGTAGTCAGTCCAGTGACCTGCTCCGCTCCTTGCAAGGAATGGCCGCCTCTTCGATCCCCATTAGTCCAGGGCCGAGTCGGGACTGGAGACCGGGCACTGCAATCCTCACGGGGACCTGCCGCGGCCGCGGGGTTCGCCCTGCCCGTCGCGGTGGCCCAGGCTGGGCACTGCGTGGATGAGCTGTGGACGCCTCTTCACCGCCCCCGCCCTGTCTGCCTCTGCCCTCCGCTTCCACGGAACTCAGTTTTCACCAAGCCCTTGGCTCTCCCCACTCTCAAACCTCCAGGGCCAGCCCAAGGCCATCCCCCCCGCCCCAAAGACCCCCGTGCCCCCCTCGGACTTCCTCCGGGCAGCCCTCTGGGCTGGACTCCCAGGCACTCAGCTTTGGGGCCTCCCACCCTGTCACTGCTCATGGCCTTCAGAAGGCGTGTGTTACCCCGTTTCACAGAGGAAGGCAGAGCCTTCGGCCCTCCCCGAGACCCGCCTGGGAGGGCTGGGTGCGTGGGTTCATTTCTGAGTGGACACCCAGACACCCCCCTGAGAGCCGAGGAAGCCCGGGCCTGAGAGCTGGCCCATCTCCTGTAGAGGAAAGGCCCAAAGCTCTGCCCGGAAGGACGCCCCTGTGCAGGTGTCTGCGGGGCCCTGGAAGGCTTCTCTGGCTACAGCACCCTGTTCCCAGACGGGCAGGTGTTTTTCCGCTGCGTGGACAGCCCCGTGCCCTGCGAGTCCAGCTGCCAGCTGACGCACACCTGGACAGCAGCAGTGGCTCAAGTGGTTGGTGGAAAGGCAGATTGAGTTCCAGGCTCCCAGCCTCAGTTAATGCAGATATTTGGGGATAAGATCATCAACTGGAACCTTCCTCTCTCTCAAATCATATTTTCAAGAGAACCACTGCTCAGTGACTCCAGCCAGCAGCGGCAGCAGGGCGGGGAACGGAGTGTCCAAAAAGGCAGTTTATTGGGCAGCTCAGCTTGCCGGGGCCACAGTCAGGGAGCCCAGGCCGGGCCTTCCCTTAGGCAGGATGCCCCGGAGGTGCGGTTCTCGGCAGCTCCTCCCCTCGAGTGCTGCCAGGGAGGACTCTGGCAGTTGTGAGCCTGCAGAGCCCACGGAGGCCAACAGCAACACTGAGGGGCCACAGGGGCAGCCTCCGTGCAGGTGAAAACACTGGCATGGCATGGCCAGGGTGGCTGGGGCAGGCTGTTTCCTGCGGGATGGGAAGGGAGTGTGGGGTCCCAGAGCAGACCCATCGGGGGCCCTGAGGGGACAGGTGGGAGGATGGAGAGAGGGTGGCCCTGGGGCTCCAGCTGGCAGCAGGCATGGCATTCACAGAGGCTCGAGGCCAAAGCTGCTTTTGCTCTTCTTCCGCCGGGCCTTGGCGAAGGGGATGTCCAGGGACTCGAGGCGGAAGGGCCGGGGCTGGGGCAGCTCAGTGGCCTGGGTGGGTGGGATGGCCAAGCTGTTGCCCAGCGGGGAGCTGAGGCCTGGTGGCGAGTTGTGGTGCCCTGTGGAGGGGAGGGCCAGGGTGCCAGTCAGCCCATGTGCAGGCACCCTGCCCGTCCTCCATGTGCAGTGGGGAGGGTCCAGCAGCTCACGCCCCCTCCTTCCCCTCCCCAGCACTGTAGCTGGGGCCCAGCAATGGCTGCTCAGGATGACACGTCAGACCCAGCACTACACCTGTAGCCCAGGGGTTCGGACCTGCAGACAGCAGGCCTGGCTCCCCACTTGCAGCAGTGTGACCCCGGGCAGGTCCCTGACCTCTCCTGACCCGCAGCGTGGGCACCACACAGGGGCTCAGCTGAGGCCAGGTCCTTTCCTATCCTGTTTCCCTCCTTGGGCCTCCATTCCGCTGCTCCACCCCTTATATCACCTTGGTATAGGAGGAGGATTTGCTTTCCGTTGCTACTTTATTGAAAATACAGTGGGATTCTTCCCCCTCATTTTAGAAGCAGAAGAATGGATTTTTCACTTTCTGAAACTGTGTTTTGCCTTTGTGGACCTTCTCTGGTCCCTGGGCACGGTGATCCTTAACAGGCAAAGTCAGCCCTCCCTACCCCACCACAGCGTATGGCAGGCCCTGCAGCACGTGAAGCAGCTGTGGGGGGCTGGCACTCCCCCAGTGATACTCTAAGCCTGCACCTCACCCTGCGTGCTGCCACCCTACCGGGGCTGGGGGGGCAAATGGACCAGACCCAGCACCTCTCCCCGGTGAGCAGACAGCACCCTGAGCACCTGCTGTGTGCGGCTGGGCTGGGCCATTTCCCCATGGCACTGTATTACATCCTGCAAATGAGTATTATTGCACTCCCACCCCATTTTATAACAGGGGAAACTGAGGCTCAGAGAGGAAAAGAGCTCCTGAACCCAGCTGCATCTGACTGCAAGCCCATCACGCCTCTCGCAGCTTGGGGCACGGAGCACTCACCGAGGCTCCTCATGGAATCCGTGCTCAGGATCTGGCTGGCCCGCTTGGACCGGAAGTAGTTACTGGCAATGTTCTCACTGTCACTCCGACTTAGCATCACGCGGTAGCGGTCTTCTTCCTGCCAGGATTAATCCACACACTAAGCAGTGGAGCCCCAGCTACTGCAGTCCTGACTCGGACCCCTAGCTGAGAGCTCAGAGGCCTCTGGAAGCCTGCCGGGGTGGGGACTGCCCACTTTGGGGGTTCCCGGGCTCATGAGTCTCCAGCCAGGCATCCACTGCACCCCGCTTCCCTGGGACAGGCAGGGCTGTGTTCCCTCATGCAATACTCTGATGGGGCGAGGGTGCCGCCACTCTACCCCACCCCCCAAGTCTGTCCCCAGAGTACTCAGCCCACGGCTCCCCATGTGCCCATCAGCCTGGAGCCTGACCTCACATGAGGACAGTGATGTCACTGTAGCCAGGCCCTTGGTTTCTCACTCTGAACTCCTTCCTTCTCCCACTTGACTAGATATGTTCACATGGCACCCATCACAGAATCACAACTTCTGGAACACAGTAAGTGGTCCACTGCAGGCCCATGACCAGTCCAAATCTTGCCCAGAGTTGGGGCAGGTGCTGTAGTGGAGGCTGATAAGCTGCCCACACCCCATACCAGAGTGCCTGCTCCGAGCCCTGGCTACTTCACTCCGGATTCAGGTTCCCACTAACTGTAGCCTAGCACCTAAAGTCCTCACCCTGCACGCACTGGGATCCCATAGGGGTACTGGTTCTAATCCCACCAGCCCCACTTCCCATCCAGGTCTCTGCTTGTTGCCTGGGAAAGTAGTTGGGGACAGTACAAAACCTTGGGACCCTGTACCCGCATGGGAGACCCAGAAGAGGCTCCAGGCTCTGGGTTCCTGGCTTTGGATTGACTCTGTTTCTTCTGAGTCCCTCACATGGGTGCAGGGGGCCTAGGCACTTGGGTCATCTGCTTTTTTCAGGTTCACTAGCAGAGAGAAGGACCAGAAATGGAGCAGCCAGGACTTGAACTGGAACCCAAATGGGATGCAGTTTTTGCTGGCAGCCCTTTACCCACTATGCTCAACACAACCCCCGCTCCTGTGTTTTATTTTTATCTGTATTTTTTATTGGTTTATTTGAGACAGAGAGCTGCCATCCACTGTTTCATTCTCCAAATGCCCACAACAGTCGAAACTGAACTCTGCCAAAGCCAGGAGCGCAGGCCTGGTCTCCCGTGCAGGTGCCAAGGACCCAGTTACTTAAACCATCACTCACTGCGTCCCAAGGTGCTGGGACTTGAAGCCAGGTGTTCCGATATAGGACGTGGGCACCTCGACTGCGAGACTAAACACCCACCTTGGCAACTAAAGTTTCATCCTGTCTTTACGCTGCAATAACAGATGTGAGAGACTCCAGCCACCTGGCCCAAGAGCCGACAGAATTTACTATCAGCAATGACATTGTGGGGTACAGAGCGATGCCGATATCCCATGCCCTAGCACCAGTTCGAATCCACTTCCAATCCAGCTCCCTACAAATGCTCCTGGGAAGGCAACAGAAAGCAGCCCAAGTGGGTGGGCCCCTGCCCCCAGGTGGAGTGCCTGGCTCCTGGCTTGGCCTGTGCAGCCACTTGGGAAGCAGGTGGAAGACCTCTCTGTGTTTCTCCCTGTCACTGTGCCTTGCAGGTACACAGATCTTTCCCAAAAGTTGTAAAAATATATTTACTGTCAAGTCCTTTATAGCAGATGCTGGCTAGCTCCTGCTTCACACCCATACAACATGGGAAACATGCAAAGAAAGTGACCTTAGAATCCCAGTGATAGTTCTGTCAACACGTGGAGGTCTGAGGGACCAGCTGGGGCCCAGAGAACCAGACTGGGCCATGGGCCTCTGGACTTGAACCTGAAACCCCTGCCCTGTGCCAGCAGGGAACGCAGCCCAGTGCCCTATCCCTATCCCTGCCCTGTGCCCAGTGGCCCCAGGCCCTCCCTCTCCTTGTCCTCCTGACTTCAGGTGCATGTGAGCCAGGGCCAGCGGAGGCCAAGGGCCCAGTACCAGTGGAGGGACGCAGCAGAAGAGCCAGACTGGGCCCCAGTGTTCATCCTTAGGGGTGGTTGGTTTGGCCCAGGGATGAAGATGTCACTTGGGACCACCCCATCCCAAATGGAAGTGCCTGGATTTACATTCCAGCTCAAGTTCCCCATTCCAGCTTCCTGCTACTGTGCAACCTTGGGAGGCAGCAGGTGATGGCTCAAGCATCTGGGCACCTGGCAGCCACACGGCAGGTGTGCACTGAGTTCCTGGCTCCTAGCTTCGGCCTGGCCCAGCCCCAAGCCAAGCCTAAGCCCCAGCTGCCTGTGGGCAGTTACCAAGTGGATCAGTGGATGGGAGAGCTATTCTCAAATATATAAAACCAAGAAATCCTGGGGCCAACATGATGGCATACCCAGTTAAGCCTGGATTGCAAGGCCAATATGCCATATCAGTGCCAGCTGATGTCCCAGCTGCTTTCCTTCCTGCCTAGCTGCCAGATAATGGCTAAAAAGGCAACAGAACAGGGCCCCAATGTTTGTGCCTCTGCCGCCCACCAGGAGACCCGGATGGTGCTCCTGGCTCCTGGCTTCAACCTGGCCCAATCCTGGCTATTATAGTCATTTGGGAAGTGAACTAGCAGGTGAAAGATGTCTCTCACTCTGTGCCTTTCAAATAAATAATTCTTAAAAAGGAAAAGGCAGGAGAGCCGGGGGAGGATCCTCAGCTGGGGGGAGAGAAGTGGGTCTCCCATGGTAACGCCCCCAGCACCCCTCCACCCCTGTCCTTCCCCCTCCCCCGCAGGGGTCTTACCAGGTCGGCCTCACCAGTGTCAGCTGCAGAGG